TGTCCTTTTCTCCTAAAGAAAATGTTGCTTCCAGTCCTCACACTGCAGTGGTCTGTGCTTTCAAAGCTGAGTAACAGTCACACCCCTCCGCACAAGCTTCCTCCTCAGACTTGTATTGTAGAGAAGGGGAGGGGTGTGTCTGACCAGATCTGCTATATTGGGTCTTTTCTGGTGCCTATTAGATTGCACAGCCATATGTAAACACCTACCACAAATGCTATAACAGAAAGAGGTTGTTAGCTTGATGTCTATTTGACTGCGTATCTATTACTGTCACCTCCATTAAGCTTTAAAATCAAGTTCTGGTTTAATATATGTTCATCAGCAGTGCAGGATTCCAGTAACGAAGCCAGGCTTTTATAGAATCAGTTGGGATATAATTGATATTGCAGTTTTGCTGGGGAGTTAAACTCTTATAGATTTGGAAAGCAACATATTGATTGACAGTTGACTTTCTCTGATTGGTTTAACAGCAAAGTGGGCATAAATCATAAGCCAAGACCTAAAAAGAAGTGTACTGTCTGCTCTTAAGCAGGATTTTGACTTTTAAAAAAGTGTATTTCCACTACCCGGAACTGGACCTGACTCCCCGATTGGACTATCCTTTTGTACTGCGATTTTTGGACTTTGTTTGTCCCTGCCAAGGGGTTCCACACCTGGCCCGTTACTCCAGCCCTGACACTTTTGCAGTCAAAATTGAGAAAACCCGGCGGAAGACGAAGCCATGTGTGCAGGTAAGAGGAGCTGGGAAGGAAGGAAGAAGGAAAGGAGGGAGGGGAGGGATGCAGCCCTGACCAGCCCACCTGAGACCCCTTCAGAGCCCATCATAGACAGTCTCAGATGGGCTGTGCAGCATCTATGGTGGGCTCTGCAGGGTCACTCTCAGGTGGGTCCTGTGTCCAGCGCGTCACTAAGCCCTGCGTCCAGCACGTCACTAAGCCCTGCGTCCAGCGCGTCAGTAAGCCCTGCGCGTCACTAAGCCCTGCGTCCAGTGCGTCACTAAGCCCTGCGTCCAGTGCGTCACTAAGCCCTGCGTCCAGCGCGTCACTAAGCCCTGCGGCCAGTGGCGCGGGGAGGGGCGGCCTAAAGCCATGTAAGGGGCCTCAAAATTTCTGATGGCTGCCCTGGATAGGGCAGACAGTGTTCAAATCTAGTTTGCAACTGATAGTGAGATCTGCCAGCACAGATCAGCTGGGGATAATTATGATAAACATTACGCTGCCCACCCCACTTGCATTGCAGAGAGTAATTCCGTACACAGAACAACTTTTCTTTCAGAATTGATCTCACATTTAGTTTACTATTTTGTATTGAGATTGTAGTCCATCACGGGAATGAGCTTGGAACGGTGACTACTTTACAACACACACAGGTACCATGGGGAACAGAAGTAGTCACCCTCCAGAAGGAAGGGCAGTGTCCGCACCAATTCAGAGATGATTGGAGGATCTACAGTGATACGCATGTAGCTCTCAACCCCGAAGGAGCCGCTGAATGACCGGTTCATCTCTAGTCTGTCTAGGGGTATGTTCTTCAGCTGCCCTCCCATTAGCATCCACTGCCCTTCTTCTAGTGCCCACAAACTGATGTCGGCTCCAATAGTAAAATGCAGAATAACGGTTTATTGAACATCTTCACTGGGGAGAGAGGATATGGGGATTCTAAGCTTCCAGAGGTAACTGACAAGAGCTCCAGACTCACCAGACCTGGTTGGCATATCAGTGTAGATCCACTTGGGAGACAGCAGACAGCGACTGATGTAGCAGATGAGCAGGATGAATACAGATCATCAAACAGGAAAGACACCAACCATACTCCTGAAGTTCTCTTAAGTTCCAGGGTACTTCAAGAGCCAGCATTGGTCCCAGTTCTCTTCCTCTATCAGCATCACAGACCTCCTCCATGTTGGAGGCCTCAGGGAAACCTTTCCCTCACACCAGCCTGTGCCCATCCCCAGGCCTCAGGCCTAGCCCAGGGGGCAGGCTGAACAGCACCCAGCCCTATTCCATGGCTGGTACCGGCTAGCCTGAGCTCATGGCAAATCCCTCCAGTATATGTACCCTATCCCAGCATGCACCACTGGTTGAGAGAAACCCTGTGATTGGCCTTCATATCCCTGTAGTAGAGAGAGAGAGAGAGAGAGCCCCTCATCATATGTATGTGAGAAACCCAGGTTACACATATACACCATCAACAATTCTCTGGCCGCTGCCTCACAATTTGTAAACAATTTTCAAGTTGCTTCTCTGAAAAGCACAGTGGAAACATTTTGTGGAAATATTTTATTTTTATATTACATTATGTACAGTTTCTTCTGACACAAACAAATAAAATGATAACATGGCATTATGTAATTTCCAAATCTCCAAATCTTAAATTGCAGCCTAAAAATAAAATGCGCTATTTATTAAATAAGAGATCTCAGATCTACAAAGAAGTCTCAGATTTCTTTCAATTGCTTTAGTCGATATATACATATTGCTTGACAGCCCATTGGGATCAATGGGAGGAAAAAAAAATTCTTAAACAGAACCAGTAACCACTAGGTTTTTAAAATAGACCAAATCTCTTGAATTGTTCTAATAGTGCAATGTTATCTCCCAGTGTTTAGTTGGATTGAATTATTTACTTGTATTCTCTCCCTGTCACAGCCGCAGTGGCAGGATAAGTGAGCGCAGGCTAAGGGACTGCCAGGATTAGATGGGTGAAAACTGAAGTATTTCTGTTTAGCTTTTGTGTCAAAATGATCTGTAGCTCATAGATATAGGCAAGTTGGAAATCATACAGTCACTAAGGCTGAATTTACACCTTTGCGTTGCAGTAACACACAAAAAAAACAAAATTTTTCCCCTATGTTACCACAATGAAGTGTAGTGCATGGCATTGACACTTTTGAATGACAACCCAGTAAACTAATATAGTAATGAGCATCTCACTTACATTGCAGTGTACACATGCTGTGCGTTGTGATGCACTGCTTAAAAAAAAAAAGGGGTCAGATCCATTTTTTAATGCATTAAGGTGCCGGGCCATTTGCTATAGTGTGACAAAAACCAAACAGGAGCATCACTGCGTCGCAAGCAGCAAAAAGAAGTAAAGAAACAATATATCTAACACAAAAAAACAGTCCTTATGCTAAAGAAAACTGTGCTATAGACATGTAGGATTTGTTTAGTTCTGCATTGAAATTCGTACGAATATCGGTATATTTGGACATTCGGATGCATCCATATTTCTAAGAAATAATGAATCTAAATGTATCCAAATTTTTCATAAGGAAAATTTCAGATGCATCCAAAATTTTCTCTGAATGGCATTCTGAATGAATAAAAGGAGAACTATGGGGTCAGTGTTTTCCCCCATAGTTCTCCTTGGGGTAACGGGAGGACACAAACTAGCGTCCTCCCGTTACCCTAAGCTCAGTATACCGCGAGCTACAGCTTGCGGTATACTGAGACGCCGCAGCCGGAGCGGATCCCGACATGGACGTCGAGATCCACCCAGCTGCGTGAGTGACAGCTGGCTCTGCCTATCTAGAGGCAGAGCCAGCTGTACCCGCCCCCTCCCCCGTTCGTTCCGCCAGTCAGCGCTGGCAGATCGGAGCGGGGAGAGGGGAATCCAGCCCCTCCCCCTGTCACGGCAGAGAGCCGTGACAGGATTGAGAGGTGAGCGAACCCGGTATGTGTTCGCTCACCTCCCGATCTACTGAGCCGACCTGTGACAGTCTCATAGTCACAGGTCGGCTAGAACTATGAGGTGGAAATCACTCATCTCATAGTTCTCCTTTAATGTTGTTAAATGTTAAAATAATAAAAAATAAAACAGCGTGGAGGCCCCTCCCTAATTTATACCAGACTCTTTAGGTATGCCAACAAAACAAAAAAGCGTGGGGTCCCTCCTAAAATCTCTTACCAGACCCTTGATCCAAGCAGTAGCCTGGCAGATCAGGAAAGGGGGGTGAGCATACACCCCTCTCCTGCACCATACCAGGCCACATGCCCTCATTATGGGGAGGGTGCTTTGCCAAAGCATCTTACCCCCATGAGGACAAGGGCCCGGTGGTTGCGGGGGGTCTGCGGGCAGAGGAACTTATAGGAATCTGGGTGCCCCTTTTCATAGAATATACAACTGAAATTATTGTGTGTTTCCTTCAAACATTAATTTTGTGCAGGAGAAGTACAATTATTTAAAATTTCCCTACAAACAACTTGAGATTTGAAGGACGATGCCATATCAGTTAACCTGAGTTCATCAATGCCATACTGTCCATTCATTGCACAGTCTCTCTATTGGCCAGCAATACCGCCCGTCATATTAAAGGATCAATAGGGAAGCTGGGGAGGTGGAAAGCACATTGCAAAAGCTGGATATTTACAGCAAAAGTCGAGACTGCCAAATATCGTCAGCCACCTTCTGAATCTACTGATCATTTTGACAGGTACCCTCTGCTCATATATTTTTCATGAGATGATCAGTTTGTTAAGTGCAGGTTTGTCACAGGTGTACTTACATATATACAAATGGAATTATCCTTTTACAGTGCAACCTAGTCCCGTGAGAACTTTATCTTTCTACATCCAATGGTTCTTTTTTTGGGTAGTAGAGAATCAAGTTGATATAGTTACAATGGGGCCAGTTCCAGGAATGCATATGTACAATGCCTGTAAAATGACTTTGGGAACCAGAAAGTTCAGTGCTCGGTGTTCCCACAGTGCCAGGTTCCTGGAAGTTTTACCCAGCCAGGGGGTATGATGTCCTGCAAGCAATCGTTGCCAAAATGACTTGAAGAACTTGGCAAAGGTTTCCATTTTTTTTTTGTACATGACCATTTAAATACTCTGTTTTGTATTGGGGTCACTTACATAAAGATGACTTAGTTGCTAACTGTAACACTATGCTTGTACATTCTTTCGGCACTATGGCTACGTAACTGTATCTTTTACAAAACCAAGACAACCTGTTTGGATTTTTTTTTAAAACACAGTTTGCGTGCCATTGTCCACATGTAACATCAAAGAAAGGTCCATCTTATTCTTGATTCTGATGGAGCTTGTAATAAGCCCCTTGTCTCTCTACAAGTTCATCATGAGTCCCACTCTCCACCAGTTGTCCCCCTTCCAGCACCAGAATCTGGTCAGCATTTTTTACTGCGCGCAGCCGGTGGGCGATGATCAGCACAGTGAGATCTGGAATACTCTGCAGAGACTGCTGGATCTGTAGAAGAAACAAGCGTTGAAAAGCACAGAGAAGACTGATCAAGAGGACCAAAGAGCAATGGTTGCACTGACTCACCATATCTTCTGTATCAACATCAAGACACCTTGAAGCCTCATCTAGAATGAGAAGTTTGGGATGCCGTGCAAGAGCGCGTGCAAGAGCAATCCGCTGTTTCTGGCCGGCTGCCAGCTGAGCCCCACTGCTGCCAACATCTGAAAAACACAATTTGACATACAGGAACAGTTTTCGAAACCCCTCCAAGGGCTACAAGCAAAAACTGACCTCAAGACCTACACAGAGTTTTGGGAAAACCAATAACCCGGTCACATGAGATTAGATGGGAATTCTAGGAAGTTCTCACACAAAGAATGGTTGTCATGGCTGCAAGATACAGAAATTTGACATTTCTGCCAGTTTTGGGATACCATGACTGGTGAAGCTTAAAAAAATAGGGAAACCTTAATAGCATTAAAGTGTATCTAAACCCTAAAAACGTTATTAATTTGTTCCCAGGAGTTTCACATATGTCCTAATGGCCATTGTCATCCGGACTGAACTTGAGGGGAAACCCTACATTTTAGGGTTTTTTTTTTTTGTTTTTTTTTTATCGAAGCCCGTGGACGTGCATCAAAACTTCCCCCTGTGAACAAAAAAAGTGAACCGTGAAATCACAGCACACAAAAACGTGCACAAGGGTGCAAGGTCCTTCAAAAGAAGGGACCTACTTTCCCGACCCCCCGGGGAGCAAGGCTCCTGACAGGGGTTGAGACTGGTGGTCCACCAACCCGAAGGCCGTGGACCATTTCCTATGGGGACCTGCCGAAACAGGTCCCCCTCAGTACTAGGCAAGTGGGATCTCCCGAAGAGAAACCCACCTCCTGGGTGGGAGGAGACAGAGAACCCCGTTCGAGGCACAGAATCTCCTCCCAGCGTCAGGAATAGGCCCGAAGAAACCTGCACCTTTCGCATCTGTGGGTCCCAATCAAAAAAACAATCGTGCATCGTGCATAGAGTGCAATAAATAATACTAAAGTGTCAGTGCACCACGCTGACAGGCCTTAGGGGCCGGAGTGCAAAAATATTGCCCCGGACTAGCCATAAGGCCTGTCCAAAAGGCGTTGTGCAGAAAAAGCAAGGTGGTGTGTGACCAAGTGCACAGTGAGTCAAGTGGGGTCCCATACCCATGTGACTTTCTGCGCACCCCTGGGACGCCACCCCCAGGGGGCACAACACCACGGGCTTCTGCCGCCCCCGAACCCTCGAGCCAGACCAAGCTTCGCATCCGTTCAGTCAGAAAGCCATGTACTGAGCGGTTCCCCTCTCACAGGAAGCCGCCCCACACGCTCTTTCACTCCAGCGAGTACTAAGTAACCATCCCCCGCAAGGACGGTTCTTTTCCCCACCGAAAACTGATAAGAACAGATACTACACTTGATCTTAGCCAAAAGTCAACAGGACAGGAATAGAGGGTAAATCTTTCAATAGCGTCACTTGTTCCCATAATACCTGCCTAAAAGGGATTTTTCTTACCTTGGAGAGATTTTATGTTGTAACTATAGAACGAAAGTGAAGGGAAATTTTTGATTGGGACATACATGGCAAAAAAAACCATGACAGACCATATCCTACTTTATCAAAGTGAAAAAAAATACTTTAGATATACTTTAAATTACAAAATGGAGTGTGTAACAATTATTTAATGCCAGTGCAGTGTTCCTCTAAATACTACCAATATAACTGCTGCAAATTTGTCTTTACATTAGCTTTCCATGCTTCTCTGTGCACTAGAAATCAGGATGGAAGTTAGCTCCTATCCCCTACTGGATTCAAAGTCAATACATGCATTCCCTAAGCAGAGTGGTAACAAAGATAATAACATATGTTTTACTAGTGATGGGTCTGTGATCACTCACAGACCCTTAATAAATTACTGAGGATGGACTTTAAAGTGGACCTTAACATTCAAAACTAACTCCCACCATCAAATATTCATCAGAGGTGTGTAATGTTGGGGAGCTCACAGAGCATTCACACAGGACTTTTCCATAAACAAAAGTCTTTATTAAGTCCAAAATAAAAGTAGCTTGTCTTCAGCATAACATATATTGGCTCACCAATCCTCAAGTTGCCCCACACACTCACAGTTTTCCAGTCTTTTAATAGTTTTATCTTGCAGCACTGCTGCTCCGACCTCAATCTGCAGGACCACTGTCTGTTTCCTCCGGACAATCTCAATAACGTTCCAACCTGCACAATGGGCTTCACAAACCTGCAGCTCCCTGCTGCACTGGCCTCCACTCTGACTCCTGGGTGGAGTTCTCCCTTCTCCCCTCAACACATCCCAGCACACTCTTCATGAGGGTTGTACACAGGTGCACAATTAGGTGATGGTCGCTACTAACCCATGGACCCAGGAATGGTGATTTCGTCTCACCCAGAGCTCTAGGAAATCTCCTGACTCCAGTATGCCAACTATGATCCAGAAAACCTGGAAAGGACTGAAGAGCCAGTGCCTTCCTGGTACAAGCAATTGCTTCCTGGAGCCACTCAGCCCCTCTGGCTGAGAATCCTAGGTGACTTTGAGGCCACACCGTGGTATTGCCACGCAATGCCACAGGTGTCACCAGTGCCTAAGGGAATATGCTGGAAGCATAAAAGTCTAAAGCTGGCCAAACTCGGATCAAATTTCAGCCGTTTCCTGATAAAATGGCCACAATTTGATCCATGGGTGGAACTGAATTTATTTGATTCTGATCTGAAATGTGAATGTTTCAACGACTTTCATAATCCAATAACTACTGGTATGGGGAACTAACAAAATTAAAAACTTTCACTGGAATTTTATTAACAAAATTTGATATTCTCATGGTGGAACCCTTCTGGGCTGGTGGCACCCCTCACCTGTATCATAGCCATTCTCCATTTTTTCAATGAAAGCATCAGCTTTGGCCAATCTTGCTGCTTTCACCAGCTGCTTTTCAGAAAGTCTGTCAAGACCGTAAGCAATGTTTTCTCTGACTGTTCCAGCAAACAGGACGGGATCCTGAGCCACTAAAGCCACCTAGAGAAGACAATGTTGGTAAGACACTATAAGGTAAAATCAAAGAGGACATCTAGTTTTAAGTACATTTTATCAGATCTTTGTAGCTCAGCCTTGTCTTCAGACAGATCAACTTTATGAAGAAGGCATTTGCTTTATGAAGTAAGGCAAAAAAAATCTGCAATACTTGAAATGCCAACTTTAGACTTCACTGAGTTTAGTGTCATTTTAACATTTTTCCATATTCTTCCTATTCTTTTTAATGGGCTACTCGCAACAAATTTTATTGATCCTTTCAACAGTCAAGCAATAAAAGATGATGAGTGATTGGCTGTTCTGGGATACTCTGCTTTTGCATTTTCAGCTTTATTTAATAAGGAATGTTGATTCCCAAATGCATTTAAAGTGGAAATTTCAATACAAAAATTCAAAGTCTGCGCACAAACAGGCAGCTCAGTGTACAATTTCAGCACCTGCCATAATAAAACAACCCCGCACATATGTCAACCCCTTCCTGCCAATCAAGACGGCTGAAGATCCGAAACCCAGAAGAAGACCGAGTGAAGATGTTGGTTATGGTGAGGGGGCTCGCAGCTTTAAGAGCAGTAACCAATTAACCAATTTAAATGCAATGTGCTGATACCAGATGGATTATGAGTGGATGCTATGGGTAAGTACATTGACTCTTTATTGAATAAGGTTGTTGTGATGTAAATAACTTAGTAGAACAAGATTACCTTGCTGTGTAGGTACTCATGCTTGTATTCAGCCAGTGGTCTTCCATCAAGCAGGATTTTTCCACTCTGGGGCTCATAGAATCTCTCCAGTAATGCCACGCATGTTGTCTTTCCACCCCCGGAGAGACCCACTATGCCTGTTACCGTGCCAGGCTTAAGAGTGAATGAGACATCCTAAGGAGGTACAAAACTGGGATTAAGCATAGCACATAGCATGGAGAATACATTTGTATTTCTGTCTGTGTTGCTGTTGGGGAGTTCCCCTCACTTCCTGTGTGGTAAAACACTGTCAGGTGAACAGGAAGTGAGGGGAAATTTCTCTGACTGAGACCCAGATAGCAGTAACAACCTAACCCTTCCCCACACCATCCAAAACTAAAAATAAACTTTTGGCTTATAATTTAAAGCAGGGGCTGCAAAAATTCAGCCCTTCAGCTGTGGTGAAACAACAAATACCATTTAGACATTGCAAGACTTTGATGGCCAGAAGCAGATGCATAGTGGGATTTGTAGTTTCACCTCAGCTGGAGGGCCAGAGTTTGACTATCTCGCTTTAACCCTTTCTCTGCCAGACTCATTTGTGCATCTTTTGCATACATGTTATGATGCACATTTTAGGCCAAAAGATTACTTAACCCTACCCCCTGGAATTATATACAAGGTACATTTGTTTTATGGCTGTTTAGTGTTCATTCAGTAATTCTACGGTGAACTTCACCTTTAATGTTCATAACCAAACACCAAAATGGGAATAAAATGAGATCTCAGTGATTTTGACAGTTGAATGATTGTTGGTGCCAGAGGGGCTGGTTTGTCTATTTCTGTAACTGCTGGTCTCCCGGGATTTTCATGTACAACAATCTTTAGATTTATTTTAAGATCAAGTGTAGTATCTGTTCTTATCAGTTGTTGGAGGGGAGAGGGTGCTGCCGATCCCAGAACGGGGGAGCATCCTAGTACCCTCTGACGTAATGGTGGGTGTCGGAGGACAGTTCGGTCCACTGCTGGTTGCGTCAGGCCCTGAGGTTACGGGTAGACCCCAGACAGTGGGAGGACCCTCAACGGCACTACCGCCTGATGTTAGCAGAGAAACACTTTGTCTGGCCGGAGGATTGGGAGGCGGCAGAGGCCGTGGTGTTGTGCCCCCAGGGGGTGGCGTCCCAGGGGTGCTCAGAAATGCAAACCCAAACATGCATTCACCTTCAGAGCAGGGGTATCTGGGCAGGAAGGGTATGAAAATGTCACATTCTTGAACTCGAACATTCTGTCTAGGTTTTCAGGACAAAGAGATCCAGCTCTGGAGACCTGCGGCTTTTGATCCAGGTACTGGAATACTTTGGTGGCGACTCCAGCGGAATGAGTTATCTCACTGAACATGTGGAACAGGGACTGAGAGAGAGACAAAAGAGAGACCGTGAGGAAAATATTTCTTAAGATACATACACTGCACACTTTACGATCACCTGTACAAATGCTTATCATGCAATTATCTAATCAAGCAATCAGCACAGTGTATAAATACACGAAGAAACAGGTCAGGAGCTTTAGTTAAAGTGGAAATTCACCCTGGAATGCATAGCACCATGTTTGATAGACATGTGTGATTTGTTTCGTTTCGAATTAAAATTTCTGTAAATTCGGACATTCAGATGCATCTCATTTTCTCAATGACAGATATAACAAATCCAAATGAATCCAAATGTTTGATAAGGAAATTCGGATACATACGAATTTCATTCCGAAAGAAACAAGCCGGAGAGCTGTCATTTACCGCTCTCTGGCTTTTCTGCTTTTTGTTGATATTCTGGACTTGTATCCTGAATGAAAACAAAGTAACAGAATATTGTAACAAAATGTAAAGAAAGAAAGAGAGAGATCCGTCTAATTCTGTCATAGCTTCTGCTTCTTTGCTGACACTCTGATCCTGAATGTAAATGAAGAAACTCACAGTTGTCACAGAATACACAAAAGTGTTAAACTGTTCACACACATAATAGCAATAATAAAAAACAGCGTGGGGTCCCCCTCCACTTCATACCAGACCCTTTAGATCTGGTAGGAATGTTAGGACCCCGATGTGAAAAAAACAAAACAAAACTAAAAACCATGGTGCGGATCCCCTGGCAATTCATACCATACTCTTTAGGTCTGGTAGGAATTTGGAAACCCCAATGCCAAAAAAAGAATTAAAAAAAGTGGGATTCCCCCTAAAATCCCCTTCCAGACCCTTAATCTGGGCAGGAGCCTGGTATGGCAGGAAAGGTGGGAAGAGCGAGCGTGCTTTTCCAGAGGGGGCCCCATTTCTGTGGAGTGTCAAAAATTGAAACAAAAGAAAGTAAACATCTAATGTCACTTTTCTGCAACAAATTTTCATTTGTAATTATCATTTAACCCATCTGAAATTAACGAAAACTCGGATTTATCCGAATACCGAAACTAATTGACTTTCAGACCCAAATCCTAAAAAATTATATAATTTTTGATTTTTGTCCAAGCTCTGGTTGGCCAGTAATGGGCATTGGTCATTGCTGGCTATTTTCCAGTGACACCATGCAACTCATGGGTCTCTCAGCCCACTATGCTATCTACAACTTGTGATTGCAAACCCTGACCTGGAAATGCTTCATCTGTGCCTGGTGATGTCAAAGACCAAAAGAATGGGAGGCTGAGTGACACTATGAGTTGGATGCAGTCGCTGGTAATAGTCAGTAGTTTCCAATGCTTATTGCTAGACAACTGGAATGCAAACTGAAGTCAAACATGATGCTATGCATTTATTAAGGTGCATGTGTTTTATGGGTGTTTAATGTTCATTGGGTGAACTTCCCCTTTAACGCTCATATCAAACACCAAATGGGAATAAAATTACATCTCAGTGATTTTGACAGCTGAATGAGTGTTGGTGCCAGACGGGCTGGTTTTAAGATTTCTGTAACTGCTGATCTCCTGGGATTTTTATGTACAACAATCGCTACACATGGGGCTGCGTTTGTCTGGCTGAAGGGTTGGAAGCGCAGAGGCCCATGATGCTGTGCTCCCTGGGTGTGGCATCACAGGGTGTGCCAGAAAATCACTTGAGAGTGGGACCCCACAGTGATCCACTGACACTAGGTCACGGCACTCAAAGCTTTTATCTGCACCATGCCTCTTGGGCAGGCCTTTTGGCTAGCTTGGGGCAGTTTTTTACCTTGGCCAGAAGGCCTGCAAGGGTTGTGAACTGGCACTTCTTATTTATTTACATAATGTTTTTATGCACGACTGCATGTTTTGACCCCATGGATGACAGAGTGTGTGGGTACCTTCAGGGCCGACCTGATGTTGGCAGGGAGGTTCTGTGGCCTCTATGGGTTTCTCTACCTCCCTCCACCTAGGGGTCTCTCTCTTTAGGACTACCTAGTACTCATGGGACCTGCTTTGGTAGGTCCCTGAGGATCAAGGTCAACCTAACTTTGGCTAGGTGGACTTGGGCTGACCTTGCCCCTGTCAGGAGCCTTTGCCCCAGGAGGTTCAGGGTTTCATGGCCCTTCCTGTTCAGAGGAAGACCAAAAGCACCCTTGTGCACTTTTTTTTTCGTGTGCTGTGATTTTTACGGTTCACTTTTTTTGTTCACAGGGGTAAAGTTTGTCTTTGTTGCACTGCATCGTGAGACTTTAAAAAAATAAATAAATCTCTGGAGTTTACTCCAAAGGATGCAAAAAACATTTGGGTGGATGGGCTACAACAGCAGAAGACCACACTGGGTTTCACTCCTTTCAGCAAAGAAGGAGAACTTGAGGCTACAGTGATCACCCTATACAATTGGAAACAATTGAGTCACTCAATCTCACGGCAGTGAGGTAAGGAGGAGCACAGGAGCACATATGTGGTGAAAACATGCTCATGTTTCCAGGTAATACAAATCCAAAAACCAGATAAGCTTTCAGGTGTGTGAAGAAAACCTGAATGTTTTCAAGCTCCACTGTAGACTGGAGACAGAGAAGGAGGAGAGGAAGAGAGGAGAAGGAGGAGAGGAAGAGGGAGAGCAGAAGGTGGTTATAGAACCAGATTGGATATGCTTTATTTCTTACCCGTAAATAGTCTCCAGACTCTATTTGGTACAGCATGAAGGACACCATCTGTCCATTGGTTATTGCTCCACTCTGGATTAGCTTGTGCCCATACACAAACATCGCCACCTGAGTACCAAGGTTAACGCTCTAGAGGAAGATGAGGGGAAGAGCAGAGACAGAGCAAATAGGAAAAAATTAAAGAAAGTGATAAAGAGAAGGAAGGTGAGAGAAGAGAAGATACAAAGTTATAGAGAGTATGGGAGAGCGGAATGGAGACAGAGAAGGGGGAGAGGAAGAGAGAGAGGAGAAGGAGGAAAGGGAGAGGAGAAGGACGAGAGGGAGAGGAGAAGGAGAGATTGCAGAAAATGATTATAATTTTTTCTATTATTAATAACACATCAATCATGCCTTTATGTTAAAGTAATATAATGCCATTATGATGAGCACATATTGTGAGTTATTATTGCAGTGTTTACCTTAATGTAATTTTTTTACTCGACTTTTACATTTTCACTAGCTTGATCCGGGTTCACCTTGCTATTATAATAAAGTATGTCTAAACTCTTGAGCATATACTGTATGTAATTTATTGCAGCTTTCAAGTCCTTAGATGTGGTGGCAGAATTTGTTTTCTTTTTTTCAAGCTAAAAACATTTTCTGCAAGTACAGAAAATACCTGACAATCATTCCGGAGAAAAAGTGTTTTCTTTATGTTTTTTTCCTCTTTTTATATATTTTATTTGTCCTAAGTGAGGCGTTAGGCACACGTATGTGATAAAAATATATAGCCCCAGGGTACCAGCACCCCCCGCTTGCGCGGAGGCTCCAGCCCCCTCTGACCATGTTCTTAATGCAAATTGTCGCACCATATTTGTTCAAATCACTCTATGTGTTGAAGTAAGTTGTAACGTTTTACTGTCATAATTACTGCATTACTGTACGTGAATCAGCCTCATGTGCATGAGCATTACTTCAAATTGTGTTATCTATAACTTGGATAAAAATGAAAAAGCACTTAAATAAAGAATGTATAAAAAAATATAAATATATAGCCCTATCTGTCCTCTAAATAACAATATATAATATGAGTGGGTGCACTTAGCCAGAAAGTATATTACTGCCGTGGAAGAATCACACAGCAAAAAGCGCTGCAGTCATTAATGAACAGAAACTGAAAAAAGCTCAGTCATGAAGGGGTTAAAGGCCTTGAGCACTGTAAAGCTGGGAAGTGGTCAGTGAGTATGGAGTTCTGTACTAGATGTCTGTAGCCCTTTACCCTCTCTCCCAGTTTTGCCGCTTTTGTAATAAAATATTAGAAAATCCTGACTGGTGCCCAACATTACGTTTACATCCCACTACCAGCTAAGGTCTCCTAGGTGAAATGTCATCTCTCCCTGCCTCTGAAGTTCCTCATATGCTCCTAGAAGTCAGGGGGATGCTACATGTGTAATCAGCAAAAATGGCTGCTCCCAGGTACATATATAATCACAATGTATGCACAGAAACAGGATGCTTAAAACATTAGCATAGAATAAGGTTATTTATGTCTATCTAATCAATTTTACACGTCTATCAGAAAAAAGACTGAAAAGACTATCAGGTCTATTCACAAAAGGGTGAAGAGTTTGGAGAAGGTCGGAGAAGTGAACAGACAATCTAGGCCAACATAGCTTATTTGGAAAAATTCTCCAATTCAGCTCACTTTCCAGTACAGCTATGTTGTCCTCAATTGTTCACTTCTCCGGCCTTCTCCAAACTCTCCACCCTTCTGTGAATAGACCTGTATATTTCCTTCCATTTCTTCCATTATTTAGAACATTCTGGAGTTTATATGAACACTGATATCTTGGCTTTCTATAAAATGATTACCTACAGTCAGTTTTAGAGGTGCACCGAAATGGAAATTTCAAAACCGAAGCGAAACCGAAATTAAAAAAGTTGTCAGGCCGAAACCGAAAATGTTATTTATTTTAATTTTCTCAAATTTTTAAAATATTTTATTTTTATTTGTTTTTTATAATCTTTTTAATTTGTTTTAATAATGTAGATTACTTCCCATTCATTCATATTTGAGGATATAGTCAACATACCATATCCTCAATTATCTACGGACACTCAGCGATCACTAATTACTGACTGCTTGTACCCGCTCTCCTCTCTGACACGCTGTCACAGGAGGCTGAGCAAGTGGTGCAGGGAGGAGAGCTCAGCTCATGTGACTGCGCGGGCTGTCTCCGCCCACACACCGCTCAGCCGGACTGTGATAGGAGGCTGAGCGGTGTGGGAGGAGAGACACCGGCCGCTCACAGCGCTCTCCTCCCGCAGCGCTCTGCCGGCTGTCACTTTCTCTCTTCCCCACTGAGAGACAGAGCAGCGTCCAGCGGGGAGGAAAGAAAGCAGAGATGCGCTTATGTATTGGCAGGAAAATTGCACTTTCGGCATTTAGCCAAAAGTGCCATTTTCGCCGATATATCGGTGCATCCCTAATCAGTTATCTAGCATAACAAATATGAAAATATGTAAACTGGATGCACAAAACTGAACGCTGATCTGCCCTGTGTTTTTGCCACTTAGGTTACTGGGGCCACCCAGCACTCAGGGAGGTGTCAGGGCCCAGAGAATCACGCTGTGAAGTTTATGATGAGTCTATTGGCCTGCATGTATGGATCTAAGTAGGGATGCACCGATAGCGGTTTTTCGGTTTTGAGTACGAGTACTGATATTTATATTTTTGTACTCGACGATACCGAGTACTGATACCTGTACTTCCGGTAGCATAGAGCCATTACCCACCACCCAGCTTCTTGATTGCTGGGCGGTGGGTAATGGCTCTATGCTACCGGAAGTGGCTGGGCCAATCAGCATGGAGCCGGCCAAATAGCATGGAGCCGGCTTCCCCGCTCCATGTTCCCTCGTGGCGCTGCCGGTCAGTGGAAATCTCCCTCTGACCGGAAGTTCCGGTATCAGGAAAGGTATCGAAGCATTTGGGCGAGTACGAGTACTCACCCAAATACTCGGTATCGGAATTGATACCGATACTAGTATCGGTATTGGTACATCCCTAGATCCAATATATGAAGACCATTTAGTACCATATGAGGATCAGACATTAACTTACCCTGAAAGCGAGCAGGTATACAGCTCGGACCAGATCCCTGTGGCATTGCAGACGATGTGTCTTCCTTAGAGCCTCGTCATACCTCTCTCCCTCCTCTTCCTCCGCTGCAAAGCTCTTTACTGTCTCTACTGTCTCAATGATCTCTTTTGCCAGATCACTGGAGGTGGCGATGGAATCCTGCACCTTCTTCACCAGATCCTAAAGGATGACAATACAAGAACTTCAAACATAACTGCCATATAATAATGCCGGCTTTATACTGGAAACAGCTTCTTAGAATAAAGCAGGAGATTCCAGTTTTGAAACTTGGACACTGGTATCTTTCAGCATAGGATCATTAGTCTTCAAGAAGAGGATCCTGACGCAGAAGATGTGAGTATGCAAACAAGGGGTTAAGTATACATAACTGAGGGATTGTACGAAGTTATAGGGAGGCTTAAAGGAGAAGTATGGGTTTAAGGCTTTTCCCCATAGTTCTCCTTAGGGTAACGGGAGGACACAAACTAGCGTCTTCCAGTCACCCTAAGCTCAGTATACCGCAAGCTACAGCTTGTGGTATACTGAGATGCCTCAGCTGAAGCGGATCCCGACAGTTATGCCGGGATCCGCCCAGCTGCGTGACTGACAGCTGGCTCTGCCTATCTAGAGGCAGAGCCAGCTGTACCCGCCCCCTCCCCCGTCCGATCCGCCAGCGCTGGAGGATCGGAGCGTGGAGGGGGGAATCCAGCCCCTCCCTTGTCACGGCAGAGAGCTGTGACAGGATCGAGAGGTGAGCGAACGCCGGTATGTGTTCTCTCACTTCCCGATCTACTGCGCCGACCTGTGACAGTCTCATTGTCACAGGTCGGCTAGAACTATGAGGTGAGTGAAAAGCACTCACCTCATAGTTCTCCTTTAACGTTATGGTTTCAGGAAAGGTAAGGATTACTGGGTGGGTTAGAGTTAGGGTTACAAGGAGGGTAAGTATGAGGGTTAGTGCGAGAGTTACAAAGGGGGCTAGTATTAGTGTGCTGCCACAATAGTTGTATTCACAGCCACAGTCAATATTCACATTAATGTTAAATGAGAATTGTATAGTTTTTTCTTTAAGCCATTTACTTAAGGATATTGTTTGGCTAAGTTCATATACTGCCATCTAGTGGTCATTTTGGTTATTGCACATGTTTTTCTGTGTCCCTTCCTTCACATCTATGATGTTTTTCTCTTGTGTGTAATGCCCCGCCCTTGTTCTTCAATATTCATTTCCTGTGCCATGGCTGCTTGTAACAGGACCACATGTTAATCTGCATTGCATGCTTGGAAACATTATCATCTTTGACCGCCTTAAATACTGCCAATTAATTAATCTGCTGTATCCTGTTGTCTACTGTAACCTGATGTACAGAATAAAGCTCCGTGGATGAAAAAGTATTTGGTGAGTTCAGCTATCTGATAAGGATTGTCTGCAGTGATTATATCTGCTTATACAGGCCAAGCATAGAGGTCTCAGCACGGGGTTAAATCGCTAATACAACAATCGGAGTCAGAATAATTAGAGCTATATGGAGGCTTGATGTTAGTATTAAAGATGGTAAATATGAGGGTTAGTATTAGGGTTACAGAGATGGTTAGTGTTAGAATTACAGCAAGGGTTAGTGTTAGGGGTACAGGTAGGATTTGTGTTATAATTACAGGGAGAGTTAGTGTTAGGGTTACAGAGAGGGTTAGTGTTAGAACTACAGCTAGGGTGAGTGTTAGGGTTACAGGGAAGATTTGTGTTAGAATTACAGCAAGGGTTAGTGTTAGGGGTACAGGTAGGGTTTGTGTTATAATTACTGGGAGGGTTAGTGTTGGGTTACAGAGAGGGCTAGTGTTAGAATTACAGCAAGGGTTAGTGTTAGGGATAATTACTGGGAGGGTTAGTGATAGTGTTACTGGGGTGTTAATGTGACAGGTACAGAGAGGATTAGTGTTAGATTTTCAGCAAGAGTTAGTGTTAGAGTTACAGGTAGGGTTAGTATTGGGGTTACTGAGAGGGTTTGTGTTAGAATTACTGGGAGAGCTAGTGTTACAATTTATTGTAAATATTAGTGCTAGGATTACAAGAGGGTAAGTATGAGAAATAGTGTTAAATATACTGGAATATTTAGTGTAAGGATTATGGTAGTTCTAGAAGTACAAGAGGGTACGTATGCATGTGAGTATTGGCGTTGAAGGCAGGATTTATGTAAGGCGTAGGGAATTTCTTTCTGCACCAAAGAGTAGCATAGCCATGCACCCTACAATGAAGGCTAACAATAGATAATATCTAAAGGATCTGAGATATCTGAGGGGCAATACTGATTGAAATTAAGGGTGGCATCACTTTCTCTATACAGTTGCTTAGGAGTGATTTCTATGTCTACATGAGACAGAGACATTTGCTCTCCCTTCCCCCTATTTCTCCCTTCCCACACTCTACCTTCTTTCTCTGTATGAATGTGTGCCTAGGCACAATATGGTCATTAGAGTTCTGTAAAGAATTCTATATTAATTGCAATTAATAGAAACCTAGCAAATAAAAAAGAAAAATGCTCCAAATTACAGATATTAATGCTTTCTTCACATTTATAATGTGTTGCTAAGGCTATTGTACTGTATGTATACCTGGTGATACTTGTTGTACAGGCTCTGAACAATCCAGATGAGCGGTGTGCTGATAAGGGTGAGCAGCGTCAACTTCCAGGAAACCAGTATCATGAAGTAATAGTGACCAACACATTTCACAAACATCCGCAAGGTAATGTTCACATTGCCAGCAATGGAGCGGCTCACCAGTGACGTGTCATTTGACAGCCGAGATGTGATCTCTCCTGAAAGGACAATGACAGGTAACAATTATTACAAAGTGGTTAGGAAGTTCCCCTATCTGGAACTCTGTATCTAGGTGGAAAAAAATGAGTGCTGACCAAATCAGTTCCCTCAGGTCTGTCAACCTCTATTTTATAGTCCAAATTTGGTCAACAATCAAATGGGACAGTAGCCCAATACATACAGATAACTTGGTGTAATTTGAAGTCACTGTGTCCCACTATGTGTTCCACCGCAGAACAACAAACTGATGATGGGTCCGTTGGACCCCTTTATGAGTTCACATACTGTACATGCCAGCAATCCACAATGACCAGTCCATACATCAAAATAGGATCCAAAAAAGTAGAAGAAAATCCCAAATACTGAAGATTTGTGAAAAATAATCTCCATGTAAATCTGTTTGGTCACACAGCGCATCATTCTCCTAGGACACTGAATCGCCCAGATTCCACCTCTACACATCCTCCTAGGACACTGGATCCCCCAGATTCCACCTCTACTCATTCTCCTGGGACACTGGATCCCCCAGATTCCACCTCTACACATTCTGCTAGGACAATATATGCCCCAGATTCCACCTCTACACATTCTCCTAGGACACTGGATCCCCCCGATTCCACCTCTACACATTCTCCTAGGACACTGGATCCCCCAGATTCCACCTCTACACATTCTCCTAGGACACTGGATCCCCCAGATTCCACCTCTACACATTCTCCTGGGACACTGGATCCCCCAGATTCCACCTCTACACATTCTCCTGGGACACTGGATCCCCCAGATTCCACCTCTACACATTCTCCTGGGACACTGGATCCCCTAGTCTCTTCCCCTTTATCTGGCTCTTCCAGCTATACTTCCCACATCCTCCCAGGACACCAATTCTCCTAGCCTTTTCCTCTCCACATCCTCCTGGGACACAGATTGCCTCTCCCTCTACATTCTCATTGGACACCAGCTCCCTCAGCCAACGTCCTTTTGGTACATCAGCTTCCCCAGCCTCTTCCACCTACATCCTCCCAGGACACTGGCTGCCACAGCCTCTCCCTCTCTACACCTTCACAGCACACCAGCTCCCCCAGCCTCCCCTTTTCCACATGCTATTAGGGGCAAGCCTCCAGTTGACAAAAGTTGACTATAAAGAGCATTGTCACAGCCCCTTACAGTCTTCATTAAATTGGCATGTAACAGGGTGACAATGCAGGATAGCAAATGGACAGCAAAGACTGAGCATTATCACCCTATAACAAGAAATGCCCTTTCATGGACTTTCATGGCAGGATCATTATCTGATGAAAACCGTGAACTGAAAATGACTTTTGCGTTAAAGCAGCTTGGTCCCTGTTTTAAAACATATAAAGCATTTTTCCTCAAAAAGAAAGCAATGAATACTTCCCTATCCAGCTGCATGGGCTGCTGAACTTCCCAGGGTTGAAGAAAGAAGTTTGCTAAAAGATCTGCATTTGACTCTCCTGAAACAGCCAGATGCTGGCTTCCCCTGCTGCGCTCTGTGGTTTTCTCTACCAGCCCCTAGGTCACTGCAAAACACAATGGCCGGTGGTAGCAACCACAGAACTCAGCGGGGGGGAACCAGACCTATACTATGCCATGTAGCCAATAGATAAGTATGAACTGCTTGCTTTGCAGGGAGCACTGCTTTTTACTTTTTGAAAAAAGTGGCCAAGTCACTGTAAAATGTTACAAAATTAAAATGTGCGATTTTAGTGTTTGGGTTTACAGCTAACTTAGGAGGACAAGAACGCGCAGCATTCTAAGACACCCTGGTACCTGTTTTATTTGCTTCAAAGAAGGCAATGTCCTGTTTAGCAAAGGCTCCAAAAAGGAGTTTCTGTAATCGGATTTTGAGGCGAGACATGCTGAACATGAATAATCCTCCCCGACACCCCGCAGAGAGAGAACTATGGAGAAACAGGGAGACAAAGGCATCAATACCCAGGTACATCAATATCACATGTTTTACTTTTTAATGAGTAACTCCATTTTTGTTGAGAAAAAACATTGTAAGGATTTTAACAAACTTTGCTGCAGACTCCGACTTGTTTCTATTCTGAAGAAATAGCAGTTTGTTGCAGCTTGTTTTTTCCAAACTGATTTCTGAATGGCAGGGACTGTGTCCATTATAAGCACCGGGTGGACATTCTGTGTTGTAATGAGAAAAGTTGCAGTGTCGGCATTTCTTTAGTAGTATCTGACCAAAAATTCCTATTGCAGGGGATGCCAAAAATTATACTTGTATCTTACTGGAGACTTCTGGGAAAATCAGTCAACCAATCACAGAAGCAGGAAGTGACATTTCTA